ATATGTGTGGCAGGATGTCAGCCCAAAGTTGGTGTTAACAGAATACCGCCATGGTTGAAAATATTTTTTTAAATTGCTCTTTCAAAATAGACCCAGCATCTTATTCTTTCTTCATGTTTTCGGAACTGATAGGACTTCTGGAAGGGTCCAACAGTCATTCAAAGCCATGTATGATGACTATCAGGGGGATCAAACTGAGTAGTATTGTGAAATGTGGAATGACTATAAAAGCAACAGGACTGGTTTTCTTCATCAGCTTTTAAATGACTCTGGTAGCATCAACAGTAAAAGTATAGAGCTTCTCAATGTGAGTACTTCAAAGAACATAACCTGCTTTGGTTTCTTGCTTACTGAAGAGTTTGATCATGGAAAAATGTTTATGACACAATGTAAAGTGAAGACTTCAGAATTCTATATTATATATACTATGATCCGCAATGTAAAAATAAGTATATAAGTAAGAATAGGAAGATAATATGTAAAATAAATACCGCTGCTGTGAGAGTCGAGGAATTTTTTTTCCTTTTCAAAATCATTTCAAGTTGTCGCTGGGCATGGTGGCTCATACCTGTAATCCTAGCACTTTGGGAGGCAGAGGCGAGAGGATTACCTGAGCCCACAAGTTAGAGACCAGCCTGGGCAACTTTGTGACATCTCATCTCTATAATAAAACAAAAAATTAGCCTGGCGTGTTGGCGCATGCCTGTGGTTCCAGTTACTTGGAAGGCTGAGGCAGAAGGATTGCCTGACCCAGGCAGGTCGAGGCTGTGGTGGCTATGAGCATGTCACTGCACTCCAGCCTGGATGAGAGACTGAGACTCTAGCTCAGAAAAAAAAAAAAAAATCCAAAGTATTTCATATTGTCATGATATTATCTTTTTTAATACGTTTAAAAAGAATCAATCAGCACTGAGTCAAACTCAGTGATGCACCTGTAGCCTCAGCTACTTGGGAAACTGGGGCCAGATAACTGCTCAAGCCCAGAAGTCCCAGAGCAGCCTGGGCAACACAGTAAGACCCTATCTCTTAGAAACCTAAAATCAGTCATACTTCATACTCACCATATCAGAGAAAGATTCAGAAAAGAGATGTGTTCTATTTAGTGAGAAATAAGATTTATCTAAAAATCTTTCAATTCTCTCTTCTATTTCTAAGTGTCCCAGAAAATGTAAGAGTCATATTTGCCAGGTGTGGTGGCTCACATCTGTAATCCCAGCACTTTGGGAGGCCCAGGCAAGAGGATTGCCTGAGGCCAGGGGTATGAGACCAGCCTAGGCAAACTGGCAAGACCTCTTCTCTACAATAAATCAAAAAATTAGCGGGGCTTGGTGGCACACATCTGTGGTTCCAGCTACTTGGAAGGCTGAGGCAGAAGGATCGCCTGAGCTCAGCAGGTAGAGGCTGCAGTGGCCAAGAACGTGCCACTGCACTCCAGCTTGTGTAACAGCGACACTGTGACTCAAAAAAAAAAAAACCACTCAAATTTTGAAGATGCATTTGTTTTTACCAGAATGTTGAGCTTCCAGATAAATAAAACCTTTGTGAAATCACAGCATAAGCTCTTAAGATTGGTCTAATTTACCCAGCAAAGAATACATACCAAATACCCTTTAATTATAAACACTACAATTTTATGGGCCAAGAGCAGCGGCTCACACCCATAATCCCAGTATTCTGAGAGACCAAAACAGGAGGACTGCTTGAGCCCAGGAGTTCAAGTCTAGCCTGGGCAACATTAACGAGACAAAAACAGCTCTACAAAATCTCTACAAAAAAAATTAGTCGGGCATGGTGGCACATGCCTGTTGTCCCAGCTACTTGGGAGGTTGAAGCTGGAGGATCACCTGAGCTCAGGAGGTGGAGGCTTCAGTGAGCCATGATCATGTTACTCCACTCCAGTCTGAGCAACAGAGTGAGACCCCAACTCAAAATAAAATAAAATAAAAAACACGTGGAAAGAATCCCCAAAATTTCTTTTTAACATATGTGAAAAAGGCAAAAATGGATCAATCATGTTTCTAATGGCTAATCACTTCCTTGTAAAAAAAGAATCCCCAAAATTAACAACAGTAATTCATAACACATCAAGAATAATCTGCCGAACTCAGTGGCTCAGCCTGTAATCCCAGTGCTTTGGGAGACTGAGGTGAGTGGATTGCCTGGGCCCGCGGGTTCAAGACCCATCTGGGCAACTTGGCGAGACTTCATCTCTACAATAAATAAAAATTTAGCTGGGCGTGGTAGCGTGCGCCTGTAGTTCCAGCTACTTGAAAGGCTGAACCGGAAGGATCACCGGAGCCCAGCAGGTCGAGGCTGCGGTGGCCAGGAGCGTGCCACTGCACTCTAGTCTGGGTGGCAGACTGAGACTCCAACTCGCCCCCCCAAAAAAAGAATAATCTAAGGTATTTTCCCTTCTGTAGACTTCCAAATACCATCGTCTGTTGAGATACTCCAGCCTGATTCTTTGACCACTAAAAAAGATGTTTAAGCCGGGCTACATGGCTCAGCCTGTAATGCCGCGCCTTTGGGAGGCTGAGGTGAGTGGATCGCCTGAGCCCGCAGGTTCGAGACCCGCC